TTCCTCAGCAGAGTTGTTTCAAAACCGCAGAGGCTACAACATGAGGTCGAAATAACCTGCACAGGAGGTGAAGGGCTATGGCTCACCATCTGCATGAAAAGATCTGCATACTCTGAGGCCCTTCGGGGGTGACTCTGACAGCTGAAAACTGTCTTCTATGGGTCAGGGTGTATCTGAGGTGGCATCAGAGAAAGTGTGGGAATGCTTCATTGACAGATGAATGCTATTTTGACCTTGACAAACATAGCAGAAGACAAGGTGTGGAGACTTAATGGAGAGCATTTTTGTGCTGTTTTGTGCTGCTCAAGCCAAACTACAGGGTAACAGGAGTATATTAATATGTGGAGAACTCTTTTTTAAATGCAAGAAAATATTGGTGGCACCAACTCTCCAATGCTATCAGACAAGACCACTGACATCAACGTTGCACAGGATAATATCAATGTTCAGGGAAGTCATACTCAGAACTCTACTTCTGTTCATATTCTTTAAGATTATATTTGAATATTAAAAATAACTGTAATTTATTTGTTTAAAACTATTAGACTTGAGTATGGCATCTTGTTTCTGTATTTCATGACCTAATATTAATATTAAAAAATTGCTATCATGTTTAGTAATTCACACAATGCATTGTATGCTTGACATGGCATTTTTTCATATTTTGAAAACATTTTCATGGCTTTCTAAATGAATGCTAAAAAAAACTGGCAGGTTGCCTTTGCCAATGCAATGTACCTGTATATTTATTATATTCTTTCTGTGGAATATAGCAGAAACCACATCTGGAAAAATTAGATCATTCCAGTCAAGTATAAGCACGATCAATCTTAGTCTGAAGCTTGGCATTACATTTACTCTGTTTACAAATTTGAAAACAAGGTGATTAGAAAGTACATTTGCCATGCTCGTCACACGCTTTAGGACCTTAAGGGTGTTATTGACCAGGAGGTGGCTTTCATAACTCATGATACGTGTAGAGCTCAAGAAATACTTGATAATCAAGTGTAAAATGTAATAGTGGCAGTGTTTAGCATTGCTACTTCAAAGGGGCTATCTTAGGTGCTATCTGTGTGGAGTTTGTATGTTCTGCCTGTGTTTATGTGGGTTTCCTGGCTCTCTGGTTTCCTCCCTTTAAGACATACTAGTAGGTTAATTGGCTTCAGGGAAAACTGGCACTGGTGTGAGTGTGTGCGTGTCGGTTTCTGCGTGTGCCCTGTGACAGGTGCCCTATCCAGGTGGTGTCCTGCCTTGTGCCCATTTCTTGCCAAAATAGGCTGCAGCTCCCTGCAATCCTGAATTGAATAAAGTGGATAGAAAATGGTTGAACGAATGGATGAGTGTCATAAGGACACCCCTATGTGACAAAAATTGAACAGTTATTAACTTTGGCATTTTCTTTCCTTTGGTTCCTTTCACTATCATGTGCAATTTCACCTTTCTGTGCCTTAGTCAGCAGGAGGGAGAAATGGCACATTGATACGGTAAACACATTTTTCAATCACCCGTACACTTCTATAATAGAACAATTTAAACAAAAGTTGACAGACTGGAACATGTTAAGCGGTAAAATCAAACAATGTCGTTCCCTCTGAATTCTGAAAGACTTATTTAAAAATCTTTTTTCCTCCCTTCAAACATTGCATAATTCTCTACTGACAAACTTACTCTCCATTCTTATATATTTTGATAAAATGTAATACTGTATATTAAAACAAGGCGTTGCATGGTTTATAAGCTGGTATACAGTTCCTCATTGATAACCTCAGTGCATACTGTTAAAACACACCCTAAGCTTCATTTTTCATCTTCTCTGCTTAATAAAAGCTGTTAGCCAGCTGATTTTGCCTGCTCAATAAAAACCTCAGATGCTTTATTCATACTGTATTTGTAAAAGACATCATCAAGGCAGAGCATAATTTACTCTAAGCTTGGCCTTTTTAAAACAAAAGTGACAATCTAAAAGCTACACACCTTATAATAGGTACCACTCATTGCGCCTAAAAACTAATAAAATATTTTCTTGCTTCCATATTAGCACTTAAAACTAAGATTTGCTAACAGTGTCCAACAAACATGTTTTCGATGACTTTTCACATGTGTAAAAACACCTAAAATGTTTTTTTCTACTGCATTATACAGTAAGTGTGTTATTTTACATATTACATGAAAGGAAAAAAAAACAGATACACTGTATTCCAAGCAGGACTGAACATGTTATAACTAGATGTCTGCTGTAGATAGCAACTTTGTCAAAGAATCTCTGCATAGCAATCATACTGTAACTATCAGCCTATTCACATCAGGACATCTTTTTTTTTTAAATGACATTGGCTTCTACCTCAAAGTTTCAGTCTAAGAAGAATGATGGAATGTGACTAAAGTCATAATGTAGAAAAATACAGATACTGTAGGTTTTATTTTCATTTGATTGGTTTTGAAATTGGAAAAAGTAAATATTGTAGTGCTCTCAGGTTCACGTGGGTATAAGCCCCTAAGGTTGGCACCCCACCACTGGGCGCGTCACTTAACAGGGACACAGCCCGCTGAGCTACAGGGAGATCTCCCTTCAGCCTGATCATATTCACAGGGAAGGGTGGTGACGTCACCGCACCGGTAAGCCAGCTCACACAACCTGTAATGTCAGCCATATGCGTTACAATATTCGTACATCCGTTTTCTAACCACTTGAGCCAATCTAGGATTACAGGGGAGATGAAGCCTGTCTTAACAAGTAATGGGCACTAAGTTAGGTACACAGTGGATGGAACACCAGTTCATTGCAGGCCAAGGTACACATAGACTCAAACAAACACACAGTATACAGACAAACGCACACTCACGCCAGTGGCAATTTTTTGAGAATTCAATGAACCTGCTAGTAAGTCTTTTTCGACTGTGGGAGGAAACTACAGTTACTGGAGAAAACCTACAAGAACAAGCGGAGAACGTACAAACTCCATGCAGATAGCGCCGAAGGTCTGGAAAGGAACCCTGGGACACAGCGCTACGAGCCAGCAACCCTAATCACTGCTACAACGTGCAGCCCGCTTGTGAAAATGAATAAAGTTAATTTCCTTTAAAGTTATTATAGATTCATACGATGCTTTGTAAATCTAAAACAAAAGCACCTCGTAGTACTGTATGCACATTATCTATAGAAATCACGACTCGACCAAATACGCACAATATGAAGTGTCTGAACAGAACAGTTTCCGCTTTGTTACATTTTCTTACTGGACAAAACTGCATATCTCAGCACTGCAGTAAATTAAATTAAATTAGCACATATTCGGATTTTAAAGTTTTCCACGAAATGGCAATTTAAATAATTTAAGTGACTATAACTTAAAAGTGGTCGAGAGGTGACAGATAAGCCAGAACCCAACCTTTATATAACCTAAAAACGTAATCCTCTTTGGCATTGCCTGTTTGGCAAATGAAAACGACTAAAGGAAACGATCCGGAAACGTCTGTATTCGGCAGGAAATATATGACCCACATTGCCCTGACTCTTAGTTAACGGTATCCTGATCCACCCACTGTGATATTTAAAGGTTTCCGGCTGAACATATCAAGGGTATATCACTTTTGAACACCTGGAAATCAATACCAATGAAAAAAGCCAACCGGATTTAAAATATTTATACTGACTGACGAAAACCACATTACTACTCTGTGCGCCTAGCTACTGATGTGACGGAACGTGATCTGGTTCTTCTGTCAAGGTAGCCAAAGAATTACTTCAACTGAACCGATATTAGACTGATACACTGGGAAATTGCACCAACACTTCTTTTTAATCTGATACACTGTACTTGAGAAATCCGTGCTCCAACGGAACATTTCCAACATCACCTACAGTATACTATACAATAGTGGTGGTAATAGTACATTAGTAAATAGCTGCTATAGGATATAGCCCTGATCCACCTGTTGTACAGCAGATAATACAAATACAGCACAACGTCGTCAGAGTCAAGACTTCCGAATTTTACGAGATATTTTTTGATTTTTGCTTTATTTATGAACTGCTCCATCGATTACAATTTAGATCTGCACAAAGTTTTAAAATATAATTTTAAAAAATGAAAGGACATTTTTTATTCACATTTTCGCGTAAAGTACAGCACACACATATACTGTATCAAAGCAGTAATTAAAGTTTGTCTTGCAGAATATATCCACCCATCCATTTTTTTTCCATAGCTTTACCCAGTATAGGGTTTCAGGGGAGCAGCCTATCGAGGCAAGCAGCGGACACAAGGCAGGGTGTACCCGGGGACAAGACGACAGTCCATCACAGGGCAAACACAGACACACACACGCACCAGGGCCACTTTACCCAGAGCCCAATTAACCTAGCACTACAGTATATCTTTGGATGGGGGAGGAAAACAGAGCACCGGGAGGAAACCCACGCAAACACGGGGAGGACATACAAACTCCACCCAGAGAGCGCCGCAGGTCTGCAATTGAACCCAGGGCCAAAGAGCTGCCAGGCAGCTACTGTATGCTCACCAGTGCGCCACTGTGCCCACTTTGCACAGTTTCTTGTCATGGCAAATATTTAATTATCCGAAAACGAATCAATTGCTAAAATTTGACATAGAGTAGTAAACCAAAGCTTTGTTAGGTACAGTACCACAATAATTTATAACATGCACTTTTTATCTAGCACAGGTGGGGAAGGAGAACATTAAGCATTCAGAGCGCAAAATGCCTAGACACTAAACACCCAGAAAAAAAGACGTATTTCTTTAGCTTTAAGGCTCGGTTAATAAAACAAATGGACAGTTTAATATATCTATGTCACCCGCACCCCATGTCCTACAAGACTTGCGTACTCCTTGGAAATCCGGCTGTCAAGCGGGCAGCGCGTGTATCCAGGCTTGTTGCGATCAGGCAGGAACATCACTGAAGAGGGTGAAGAGATGCAGTCGCACTCCGTATCTCTCTGTTTGTGAAGAAAGACTTCAAAATAAAACCCGAATACTTACTTCATTCGCCGTTATTCCTCGCAAGATCGCGCCCCACACGAAAACCACAAGAAGGACAGCGTGAACCTGCTCTGATAGTAGTACATGAAAGCGGGCCATTTCAGCGTCACGCCGAGCATTCAACCTTTCTCGTGTCAGTCATCTCCTGCGACTTTTTCTGACCTCTGTAGCACCATGCAGAAAGGAAGTTCGAAACAGGTCAGTTGTAACTAGTACGTACTGTAGTAGAATTAGTGTTGCTATTATTATAGCCCTACTTTGCTGTACAGGAAAGTTGTTTTCTTGGAAAACACCTTTATTTTTCCTTCAGGTTTTAACGCAGGAACATTCCCAGGTGAGCTTCAAAGTGCCCAGACCATTGTCACCTCCAACAGCGGTTCATCTTTCAAAATATAAAAAGATAACATTCACAGGGCGGTGAAGCTTGCCTTAACTGGGTGAAAATCTGCAAGGTTAAAGCAGTATACAAAATTTGAGTCGCTTTTCATTATCCAATCAGAATTTATCTTTACCGTAAAATGACTAGAAGATCCTCATCTCGTTTGCTTAGGAATTAGAGGCCACACCAAACGTGAAGTTGCACAATAATCTACAGAATTAAGTTCTTAAAAATTTTTATTTAAATAAAATATTTGAAAATATAATCATAATTTGAGGAGACAGTCATAAGATAATAAAGTATATTTTTCACAGAAAGAAAGTGCCCTTGTTTTCTGGCTTGTACGGTAAAAGAAAGTGCGTTCTTTATGGTCATTTACTGTAAGAATCCTTCCAGCTTTAGTGGAAGTTTATAGTCCGATTAGAGTTGATGCTATTTTAGAGTGTTGGAATTGGAAGAAAAGACAGATTCAATAAGGTAGGGTCATGTTCTTAATACAGATATTTGCAGAATTAAAACGAATTAAAAGGAATTCGCTGCTTGCTTAATTATTCTGTTTAACTGTTGCATTCACTAGATTCTGTAAAATAAAATGTGCTTAATTTTAAGTTTGTTTTTATATTGTTAGTACAGTACGTGAACTCGTTGCAGAAGAGGTGCGACAACACAGTGGACAGCAACTGGCTTTCAATTTGAGTGTTGTCGTTGGAGAGAGGTGTGTTCTCGCTCCTCGATTTCATTAATTGAGATCATTTCACTAGTGTCAAAAATTGAAAGCCGATGTGCACTATTCGGGTTGTGGATTTTATAAATATAAAAACCAAAATACATGTATATACAGGTAGCTAAATTTATTTATGGTTCCCTAGAAATTATGAGAAATTTGGGGAAATTAGCCAATTTGAATGGTTTGCAGATGGTTGGGATTATTTCCTGACTGGGTTTCTAGAACGTCAAGTGCAAAATGACAGATGCTTCATATTATATTGTACCGAATACGTCTCTGCGCATAACAGGGCTCTTGGTCGCCTCCGCTGAGGAAGACTCAACCGGTAAGACACTTGTTGAGCAACGCCGTAATCCCGGGTTCGCGCCCATGAGATGGAGAAACAAACTAGGTCGGTAGCGGAAAGGGCACAAGCCCTAGAACCCGAATCCGTTACAATATATTACAAAAGGCGGCACTTGAAAGCGTTTTCTTGCTTTATAATGGGGTGTATTTGCTCTTCTAGCTGTGTTTTTCGCAATAATATCCTCTTCAATGTGTTTACAAACCATGAGGCGATGATGAGCGATCAATTCGTGTAAACTACCTGGGTTACAATTCGACTTCAAACCGAGATAACCGATACCGTAATAGGGAGAGAAAGGCTATGTCTTCATGAAGACCGTGAAAATATTTTTGACTTTTCTGAATCATGTGCTCATATTGTCTTGGTTCAGCATGTTTTTCTTTGTTGTAAAATAAAAATACCATCTTGTCAGTTGATGCATATGGAATTCCGCATAGCACAGAAGGGTAAATAACACGCTCCTTCAAAACTATAATCCTGATAAATTATAATAATAAACACTGTCTTGAGCTTCCATTGGTACAGATTACGATTACAGTTTATAATACTTATAATTATACGTGTGGGAATGCCATCATGTTTTCTTAAACTTCAAAATGACAGTCTACCTTGTACCTAGGAACGTCATATGTGAATTGAAATATTTTGTTATTTTCTGTTATCACATTCCTCTGTTGCTCTCCGAATTCGTGTATTTATACAACATTTTTCTAATGCCAGACTACCAGAAATGTTGATATAAGGAAATTATTTGTGAAGACGTTTTATACAGCTAGATTAGTTTAAAGCACAATTCATTTGTTGTCATATGTACAGTATGCAGACCATCAAGCAATCAATAAGCAATAAATACAAAGTTGGTGTATCCACCAATCTAGAAATACCAACTTCAAAGACATTTATCCAATAATTTAAAATCAAGCAGTACAGTGTTTCTTAGCAATCCTTTAATGAAACAGAGTGTCATTCCACATTACTGTCTACAGAAGCGGTGCTTTCAAAGAGGACATCGAGACAACAGGATTCATGCAGCAGAGAAGAGAAACAATATTGAACTGGCACACAACGTGAACACATGTATGTGTCATTTGGAAACTTTACAGTGTGTGAATGGCGGTGCTAAAGTACTTTACTGAATGGACTTTTGTTTTTCTTTGGTAAGTTGGCTTCATTTTACCATCTGAATTTTTTTAAAAAAACTTTCTGATGAGTTTTCATTACTATTATCACATTATGGGTCAACCAAGTCAAGTTTGCCCTAATCCTTCCTTGTCACAGAAAGAGTTTGTGTGCATTATTAACAAATACAATTATAATGTTTCTTTTCTTCCCAAACAGCTTTCTGTACATGGTGTTAATGGGAGCTGTTGTGCTATGTGTACCTGAATATAGCCCCTGAATATGAGTTTATATCATTTGGTATTTCTTTTAATCTGTTGCAAACCTTTTGATTTGCAGTTGTGCTTTATCTTCTTCTCATTTTTAGTAATTGCAATTACTGTACTTCAGTTTAATCAATGAATCACCGATCCATTCATCAGAACCAGTCTTGATGAGAGGAGAGTAACTACAGTAGGAGGCCTGTCCAGGTGTCCTGCTTCCTTCTTCTTGGAGTGAACAGTTTAAAGAAGCAAATTAATTCATTGATTTAATAAATTGTGCTTATGATTCAGGTCTAGAAAAATACCCATGGCTTCAGAATTCACCTGTTCTTCTATTTATCCCAAATTTTAAGCATTATATTATTATTTTTAACAGTTGAAAACTTTTACATCATGAAGGATGTCTATTTAGAGAGTATGCTTCACAGTATGCTTTAATTATGAAAGAAGAATATAATTAATTCTGTGCCTTATGAATCTCTCAGTAAAACATCAGAGTGCTTGTAAAAGTCTGGATATAGAATAAAAAATGGTGTGCTTTTATCATTTTTTTTCAAATGATTAGTAAAATAATAATTTTAATAATAATAATATCCTTCGGATTAGACGTAAAACCGAGGTCCTGACTCTCTGTGTTCATTAAAAATCCCAGGGCACTTCTCGAAAAGAGTAGGGGTGTAACCCGGGCATCCTGGCCAAATTTCCTATGCCTATGCCTCCTAATAATCCCCATCTATGAATTGGCTTCATTACTCTGCTCTCCTCCCCACTGATAGCTGATGTGTGGTGAGCGCTCTGGTGCACTATGGCTGCCGCCGCATTATCCAGGTGGATGCTGCACATTGGTGGTGGTGGAGGGGAGTCCCCATTACCTGTAAAGCGCTTTGAGTGGCGTTTCCAGAAAAAGCGCTATATAAATGTAAGCAACTATTATTATTATTATTATTATTATTATTATTATTATTATTAAAATAGAGAATAGAAAAAAATCACAAAAAACATGCTCTGAGATTCATGTTAATTATATGAGAATATGTGAGATCAGTAATGTTTTTAAATTATTTTAACAGGTGGGCTTTGATCTTAATTATTGCACGACAGAATGTGAATGGGGTGAGTATCTTGCTTGCTCTGTCATGTACTATACACTTAAGTATGCCTGATGCACAACTTTGTAAAAAGTGTCCAAATCATATGAACATTGATGGGAACAAACACATGATCGTTAACATTTATTTAGTGCTATGTAATTCTCCCAGGTACATTATAAGTGGCCCGAAGGGTCTTTTGATCACATGTGGAAATTAAAAGAAGAGACTCCATTTTGTTTGTCCTTTGACAAGCTTCTCAGCTAGGCAATTGTGTGACTTTTAACCAAAAAAGAAGAGATTTCCTTGCAACAGCTTCCTTAGATTTAAAGGTTTCTCTAGTGTTTTCAGTAAAATGTGATATATTAATCCTGATTATTATTCTCATTATAATTACTATCTGTAGCCAGACTGAAATCAGTCTGTATTCCTTAAGTATTGTCTTTTCAGTTTTCTTAAATGCAGTGATTTCACAGAATTAGTCCATTGCTCATCCTAAACACTTAACTTAAATTGATTTCTTCAGAGAAGCAAGAAAGGAGAAGTAAGAAATTATGACTGTATACATCTTCTTAATAGAGGTGCTAATGAACAAACTATTATTCTGCATGTGCACAAAAACATTTTAGAAGCATAGACAATGCATTCTAGGCTTTTCTACACTGGACAATGGGAATACCGAGGCTTATAGTATATTTGTAAAGTCTATTATAAATAGATTTATAATTAAAATGAATAATATTGTAATTACCTTAGTGGTGCAGTGGTTATCATTGCTGTCTAGTAACTACTGTAGGTTCAATTCCTGCTGTGCTATCTGTGCAGTATTCATATGTTCTCCATGTGTGTTTGTGTCTGCCCAGTGTGTACCCTGCCTTGTGCCTTTTGCTAGGATAGGCTTTGGCTCCTTCACTACTCTGTATTGGGTTAAGTGGTTAGAAAATGGATGGCGGATATTATAAATGGAGTTTTTACTATTCTTGGGGTACTTTTGATATTCCTCATGGCTTACTATGGTAAAGAACAGTGAAGACATAGAAACCTGCAACAAAACTATTATAAAACCATACTAAATGCTGGAAAATGCTATAAAAAATGTACCTAGAGACTACTATAAGGGGTAACATGATGCTCTGTGAAACACAATCATCAAGTAAGTGCTCCCATTCAGTCACATAGTGAGATAACCACAATCTCTATACAGAGATGAAGATAACAATTTTACACACTACAGAAACTCCAATTACTTGTAATTTATGGGGTGTAGATATGATGAGAACCCAATTTAAGAATCTAATAAAACATCAAATGCTCTGTTGCTGTAATCAGCGTGGTTTAAATCATCACAGATAAGCACCTATCATTTTGTAATGAAAGAAGATTTTGTTCTTTGTTCCCTCACCCCAGTACTGCCCAGGCCCAGCCTTACTTAGCTTCTGAGAGCAGTCAGAAAAAACTTGACAAGATGACAAGGTCAGTCTATGGGTGGGTAGCACTGCTATCCTATCAGCAAATGCTAGGTGCATCTCTCAGGAATATTTTAGACTCAAATTCTTAAGGTTAGTTCCTGGGATTTCCATGCGCTTGAAAAACCTCCCCCATAACAAGGGCTCAGTGCCACAGCCTGCTCATATCTCTTACCTTGCTCTCAGTAAAGGAATAGCACAGCATTTAAACGAGACAACTTAACAGGCAAGGTTAATCATGTACTGGACTGTATATCCCCCCATATATTATAATATTGGACTCAGTTTCTTGCACCAAAATAATTTTAAAAAGTCATGTAAACCAGAAATGGACTTTTTTTACTCCATAACCCAGCAGCTGTATCAGTGATAGTAGCATAATGGGACAACATTCATTTTGTCATCAAATTTAACTACAGTATGTGTTGCGATAGTTTCTGGTGCCGAGTAACCCAGTGGCCAAAGTCTTGGCATGAGATGAGAAACCAGCCGCCCGAACAATTTCTTCCTAATGTTCCTAATGTAAAATTTCTGAAGACATATTCCAGCACATGTCAGGTTCAAAAGCCTACTATTAAAACATAACTACACCTGTGGAACCCTAGCTACACTTACATATTCTCAGGCTAATAGTTTGAATGATTGTCAGTTTTACACACTATTACCAATAGAACTGGCCTTGTCACACTGTTATATCCTGAGAAGCATGGTACACACTAACAGGTGAGGCTCATCACACAGGAAGTGAGCTAATCATCTTCCTCTTTGCCTTTCCTGAAATGTAGTTTCATCCTGGAAACAGGACAGAAAAATTACAACTTTGGCAGGCAGAGATAGCTGCTATAGGCTTATCAAAACTCCTGGCCCAGAATATATTACCTTTATAACCCTGCCCACATTTTGTCAAGAGTATTACATAATGAGACTACGGCTTAATGAAAGACAAATGCATGTAAATTTGGAATGTAAGCTGACAACTACAGTACACTACCAGCATTGCTATGCATGAAGCATTGTTCAGAACATATAAAATCATTATTTTATAGTATCAGACACTAACATTTAAATATCTCCTCTCATATCTGATTTATTTAACATTAGTTACCTAAAGCAACCTAGTTTCCTAAAACAAAGTGAAACATTGAAAGATAGCAAGTAGTGACTTGGCCAATCAAGTCTGCAGGATCTTTATTTTAGTGTCAATCCAATGCCAAACACATACTGTATGAGTGACACTATACATACTGTATGAACATGTGAGTAGGGATTAAGGAAATACATTTTTCTGTGTTTTACAGAAAATCTTCACTATTTAATGAAATAGTGTCTAAATTGTAACCAAATTAAAATTAACCAAATGAATAAATTGCAACAAGAGTGAAAGTAGAACTGAACTTAGTGCTGAAGAAGAGGGATTTGAGTTAAAATCCCATGAGAAACCCTCTTGTTTTACTACTGAACACAATACTTCAACTGGATTGCTCCAGGTTTTGGGTACAAATGAGAATTTGTTCTCAATTGACTTCTCTGCATAAATAAAGTATCTAAATTAGTCACGCAGAAACAATCAAATTTTAATCCTGTGTGCAGTATTGAAGGGCTTATAATCGTCTATTTGTTTTTATGCCACAAACGTATAACAACGACCACTTAATGCTTCACCTTGCTAGTTGTTAATGCTAGAAATGCAGCAGGAGAATATACAGTTCTTCTGGTTAGTGTCCCACCAGAAAAGCAAATACAGTGAACCCTTGTTTCTCACTAGTTAAGAACCGCTCCCAGGTCTTTTTTATTTACACATTGTTTCTTTAATTATTAAGGATTTATTTAAAGAAAATGCCCACTGTTACTTTCATGACAGAATAAACCAAAAACTGCACCAGATCAGCTATTAAAGTGAGTAAACTATATCCTGATGGCTTAGAGCCTAAGGGAATGGGAAACAGATCTGGGGTTGCAATGTAAACAATCCACTTTCACAAAACACTTTCCTGTGCATGCATGTGGTAGGCTGGCAATCTGAATGAGGCTGTAAGTTCAAATCCAAGATGTGAAGCTTTAAGAGTAGGACAGTGGCAATTTTCCAGACCAAGTGCCTCAAGCAAGTCTGTCTGGGAGTATGTTGAGGGGCAGGGGGTGTCATTTTCTATGGCCATATAGTGAAATCGTACCCTCTGGCAGCAAAAAGAAGATAAAAGTGAACACTGACCAGGTGTTTACAGTTTTGTTGGGATCTTAAAGATATCTCAGGCACGCATCCACACAAACCTGGTGAGGACCAGTATGCGTATACAGTATACAGCAGCAGCTGACAAAAGCCCCTATGCATTTGAAAGAAAAAGATGCACCAATTATTCACATTGTTAATATTATCATTTGGAAGTTTCTGGATTACAAATTCTCTCTTGGAGGTCATCATAAAAGTTCTATATGAATTAACTGAGGTAAGGCTGTCAGTATCTGCAAAAGTCAAGATTTATTTAATCTTTACTGCTTTTGATAGTATGACTTCATAATATCAGTATATGTGCAACAACATTTTGTGCAAAAATTAACAATAAAGTAAACTGCATTTATGCAGAATTCCCTGCCTCTATGTAAGTTCTCCTATGAATGGGTTTTATGTTCAAACAGATTCTCAACAGGACCTTATACAGTTGTACTGTATTGCAGAGTACCTTAAACAAGAGTGAAAATATGTCATTCTCTGGATCCCTGAATCCTGTTTACACATGACAGCAGTCTATGTTCTGTTCACTTTGTGCAATGACTGATTTTTGAGACATTATTGCATTGGGTCCAAGTGAGAAATGGAGTAAAATACCACCAAATTATTGCCACAGATATTCTGTGTGTCTTCCACATGACAAGGGCACATAGCTGGATTAATAATACTAAACTTAACTCCACCTGAGAAATTATTATAATGATGCCAAACAACCCTTTACTTTCTTGATGTATTTTCTGCAGGAAGCTGGATTTCAAATTAAACCTTAATTCACCATAATTGTTTTTATGTAGAAAAGAAAGAAAGCAACCAAAAAAGTCCTGTGAGAAGCACAGATCCTATGTTTATGTGCATTAATCCCACAAAAAATTATATTTATATAGCATTGAAAACACAAGCAAAATAAAATATACAGGTTGTTTCAATTACTTGTGGAGCAAAAAATCACTAAGGTTCATTCCATTACAATAGCCAAGATTGTGTTTAATAATAATAATTGCTTACATTAATATAGCTCTTTTCTGGACACTGCACTCAAAGCACTTTACAGGTAATGGGGACTCCCCTCCACCACCTGGATGATGCTACAGCAGCTATCACACATCAGCTATCAGTGGGGAAGAGAACAGAGCAATGAAGCTAACTCATAGATGGGGATTATTAGGAGGTCATGATTGGTAAAAGCACTGGGATTTTTAATGACAACAGAGCGTTTGTCCAAAGAGAGGACCTCAGTTTTACGTCTGATCTGAAGAATGGCGCCTTTTTATAGTATAGTGTCCCCATCACTATATTGGGGCATTAGGACACACATAGATTGCAGGGTGAGCA